TTAAGAGAGATTTTTGTATAGGGTACATGCACTTGCCAGAGAGACAGAGAGATTGAAAAAGAGAAATCACCCCCTGGGGGGATGGCCATGCCGCAGTCCCTCCATTTTCCTCTTGAAATGTGCCTGGTGTGAGTTTCAATGCACCAGGTCTGGGACTCAAGCCATGGTTGACTATGTGGGAATCCAGCGATGTAACCATTATGCCATTGCTGGCCCAGTACCATTCTTTGTTGTGGGTCATAGTTCATTAGATGGATAAGCCATGTTTTGTTTATCCACAAAATAGCAAGCTTTTAGCTATTGTGAATAGGGCTGTGAACGTTGATGTTCAAGTATTTAAGTACCTGTTTGCAGTTCTTTGGGGTAATATGCTTAGGAGTGGAATTACTGGGTTATATGGTAATTCTATTAATATATTTAACTTTTTGAGAGCTATCCAAACTCTTCCATAGTTGCTACATCCTCTTTTATCCTCCTCTGTACTGTGTGGGGTTCAGATTTCTCTACAGCCTCACCAACTCTTGTTTTCATGTTAACCATGCTAATGGGTGTGAGGTAGTATCTCATCGTGGTTTTCATTTTCGTTTCCCTAATGACTAATGTATTTTTTCTGTGATCTTTCTGGCCACTTGAAAGTCTGACGAAATGTCCAGTTAAGTCCTTCGCTTTAATTTTTTTCAGTTTTTTTTTTTTTTTTTTTTTACTTCTTTTGTGTAAGTGAGCGAGTAAGCAGGACTCCTGACAGGGTACTGTCATGCCACGATCCACTTCCAACCTTCCTGCCCACCAGGACCACAGGTGTCCCCATGGGCATGCCTAACACATTCAGTTCCACCCAGAGCCTGAGAGTCCTGTACCATGGCGCTTCACCTCCTGCTCTGCCATGGCTCAGCCCAGTGCCCAGGTTTCCCAGGATAAAGCACATGTGTGCACATGTACACACAGAGAGAGAGAGAGAGAGAGAGGGAGGGAGAGGGAGGGAGGGAGGGAGGGGCACCCTCCACAGGGCTCAGTCATGCTGCATCCTCCTCTTTTAGTCAGTCAGCATCTTGGGCATGAATATACACACCTGCCGTGTTTGTAGAATTCCTGGGTCTAGGGCTTGCACCATGGTGGGCATGGAGCTTTCAGCTTCACACCTACCAACTGTGGCACAGAGGCCAGCCCTGCGCCCATTTAGAAATCGTGAATTTGGCTGTCTCTTCGTTGTAGGGTCATAAGAGCCGTTTATATATTCTGGATACAAAACCTCTGATTTGTATATATGTTCACCCATAGGTTGTCCTTTCACTTTCATACTCTCTTTGATGCATAGTCATTTTAATTTTGATGAAGTTCAGTTTATCTGTTTTTTTCTTTTGTTCCTTGCGTGTGTGGTGTCAGAGCTAAGAAAGACTCCATTGCATCTGAATCATAAAAGATTGACCCCTGATATTTTAATTTTATTTATTCATTCTTTTTTTTTTTTTTTTTGTCTAGAGAGAGACACAGAGGGGGTGAGGAAATGAGAAAGAAAGCCACCAGGTCCAGGACTTGAACTGTAGTTGGCCATGTGGGAGTGCCCAGCCCCTTAACCACTAAGCCACCTGCTGGTCCCTGTTGTAGCTTTTGTATTCAAGTGTCTGATCCTTTCTGATCAGTTTGTACATGTGTGAAGTAGAGGTCTCACTTCATTCGTTCACATGTGGATATGGACACACCTTTATTTTGTAAGTTGATTTCTTCCATGAGAGAGGGAAGGAGCATCCCTAACAGGATCTTCATGTCAAAGTCGACCCCAGTCTCACCAGCCAGTGCCACAGGCATCTGTGCACCCGGGATGCACAGGGAGTGCGTGGGATGCAGACTCGGGACCTCGCGTGGCCTCAGCATCCCAGAGTGTTGTGTTACCACAGCCTTCACAACTGTCCACACCCACTTTTTCTGAATTAAACATTTTCTTTTAGTTTATTTACTCCATGAGAGAGAGAGAGAGACAGACACAGCATCTCTGACAGGCTCTCGCTGCCGTGACCCACCCCCAGCTGTACTAGCCTGGATCGCAGGCACGTGCGTGTTGGGTGTCCTCGGAGATCTCCAGGGGTAACAAGCAATCTTTCTTGTAGGCGCATTTTCAGAGCATTGCATTTGCTGCTGTGCCACTGTTTGTCCCATAAGATTTTTATTTTTGAATGATTTAAATTTGTGGAACGTTGGCTAAGATAGTCCAGAGAGCCCTCATATATTCTCCATTTGGTTTTCCCTTGTGTTATCATCTTACACACCTTGAGTTTTTGTCTTAGGCCGTAGGTGGTGTGGAGGTTAAGGCGCTGGTTCCCATGTGGCTGCCAACCACCTGATTCTAGCCTTGGACCCAGTGACTTGAAAAACACAGCAGGCACATGTGTGTGTGTACCCATAATCCAGAGAGGAGAATGGAAGAGAAGGCATTGTGGTGTGGCCATCCCCCTTGGGGGTGATTCTTACTTTCCCTCTCTCTGGCGAGCACCCACACCCTATAGGAAAAAACAAAAAGAGACCGTCTTTCTGAGAAATTGATGTTGGTATAGGACTGACAGGTAATTGCAGCCATGTTTGGATTTCATCACCAATTTCCTCACTGCTGTTCTTTGGTGCTTCCAGGACCCAAGCCCAGGATACCACCCTGTATTTAGTGTGCACGCTTTCTGACTTCACTGTAACTAATATACATTTTTTTAAATTTGCCAAAGGATGTATGTGCTCATAGAAGAGAGGTGGGAGGTGCTGAGAAAGCACCCTCCCATGGGGCATGGGTACACTGCAGTCCCTTGTCTTCCATCTCTCCGACCTTTCTGGATTTGGGCATGCATGCACAAATTACACAAATGCCCATCATGTGTGTGTGTGTGTGTGTGTGCGTGTGTGTGTTTAATTTAACTTTATTTGTTTGTTTTAATTTGACCAGAGAGAGAGAGAGAAAGTGAGAAAGCAAGCTGCCAGGTCTGGGACTCAAACCACAGTTGTCCATGTGGGAGTCCAGCGCCTTTAACCACAATGTTATCTGCTGGCCC